TCCCCCCCCCCCCCCCCCCCCGCCCACACATACACACCAAGCGGATAATAGTACATTATTATTTTCCCTCTCTTCCACCCCTTCCTTTGAGCCAGTGCATGAGTGCCAATTAGTTGCTTTAGTAAGGCTTGTGCCATCTCTACATAGAGTTACCTCTCATGACCTGAAAATGCTAGTACATATTGACATGTTAGGTACTGTATGAAGTGGTACAAGATAGCATCACATCGGGTTAATTCATCATGGTGGGATTCAGTGCTGGCACCATTGAGAGACTTAGAGTCTGGGGCAACTGGAGGTGTGTCTCATTTAAGAACAAACCAAAGAATTTCTTCAGAATCCAACATGAGTGATTCTTTTGTCCCTACAAGGAGCTCCGTTGAGGATATTGAGTTGGAAACCAGGGCATTAACTGAACCTCTTCCAACCAATCAGCAGGTAGTTTCAAAAGAATAGAAAACTTGATGCTTAATGTTGTAGATGGTGATATTTATCTTGACTTTTTTATGCTTGCAGGCCTACAAAAGTCATCCACTTTATGCCATAGAAAAATGGCTTACAAAGTATCAAGTACTTCATCCACAGGGTCCAATTCTGGGCTTTTGTTCAGGTCACCCAGTGTACCCTAGAACTTGTGTGCAAACAGTTAAGACAAAAGAGAGATGGCTGCGGGAAGGTCTGCAAGTTAAACTGAATGAACATCCTGTGAAGGTATTGACCGGCTGACAATGTTAGTGTTGTTTTCCTGATTACATTGTATTATTTCCATTTAATATACTCATGTAATTTATTCTTTACCCAAAAAATAATCCATTCAGGAGCTTCAACGTTCCATAAAGCCTCAAAAAATACAAGATTCGGAACCTGATGACTATGGCTGCACTGATTCTATGGGGAAAATTAAATTTTATGGGAAGTGGCAACTGGAACCATTAAATCTGCCTCATCCCGTGAATGGAATAGTTCCCAAGGTATTGGATATGTAACATAATGCGTGTATGAAAATTTCTTTGCAAAGGATTCAAACTATTTACCACGTGATTTGCACACCGAATCAAGATAAAATAATTGTTGGTTTGACATTTTAAGATTTGAATCTCGACAAGTGGATTTTGTCTCCGAACTATACATTCCTACTGTTCTAGTGTATATGACGGTTCTGATGAATACTTTTTGTTCGTGATTACCATATTCTGTATACAACGAGGTAGCAATGGAAAACACCACAATCATTTGTCAACCGAGGCAATAGTTTGAAAAATTAGATTCCTCGAGCTGAACATTCCCCCGCCTGTTTGACTTATCCATTTAGTAAAACATCTTTCATATTCCCATATGATGTGTGGCAGGGTGGAGAGCTTCAAGTAGTTTATTTATTTATTTAAATTTAAATTTAAATGAATAGAAGCAGTAGAGAAAAAGACCTCTTAGGTTTAAGGGAATGAAGTTGATAGAACTTAAACACAAATTGCGTGTTAGTTGCTGCTCTGTGTTAATAGACATGCATATGAATTATCTAGAAAACACACGTGTATGTTTGCTTCTTTATTGAAATTATAGAAATTTTCATATTTCATATTAATGACAGCTATATTTCATATTTTTCATCTAGAATGAACGAGGTCAGGTAGACGTTTGGTCTGAGAAATGTCTTCCGCCAGGGACTGTACACTTAAGGTTTCCAAAGGCATTTTCTGTTGCGAAGAGGCTTGAAATTGATTATGCGCCTGCTATGGTTGGTTTTGAATTTAAAAATGGCCGTTCATATCCTGTCTTTGATGGTATAGTGGTGTGTACTGAGTTCAAGGATGTACTGCTCGAGGTATATTTCTTTTTCTTGCTGAATAAATAAATACTGTTGCAAATAAACTAAAATTTGACTTGTGAAGTTAGTATATCATCTACTTTATTGCTCTCAAAATATCTGTTGTATTTGATTTGATAAGCATTGCTACATTGTGGCGTATGATAGCTTTGGTAGTTGGGTTAGTTTACTGGGGCTAGCAGTTTATTAATAAATAAGGACATTCTTGATTCTGGAAATTGTTTAGCTTCTCTTTCTTTAGATTATTTCTAAGGACTAAACATGCTTCTTCCTCATCAAAAGTTTGGTGATTCTTCCCCTTGACTCGATGCATGTTGCATGTTGGTGCTACGTCCCGTTTTCTTAGCCTTTATAACATTTATGATTTGTGCTATTACTTTTTGTACTCCTTTCCCTAGGCACATGCAGAAGAAGATGAAAGGCGACAGGCTGAAGAAAAGAAAAGGGATGAAACACAGGCTCTTAGTCGGTGGTACCAGCTTCTTTCTTCTATTGTAACTCGTCAAAGGTTAAATAATCGTTATATCAATAACGGTTTGTCTTCAGAGATACCAACTGTTGTTTCATGCATGAATAAGGATGAGTCCAGTGCCACAGTTTGTGATAGTAATGACAAGAATCAGAACCAAAGACACCGACAGGTGGACAAATGTGATGCTAATCTTGATCCTTCATTAAGGACGCCGGTAAAAGATCATGAACATGTGTTTTTGAAAGAGTTAGAGAGCTTTGATGAGGCAACATCTCTGTTGACGAAGCGATGTCAATGTGGATTTTCAGTCCAAGTAGAAGTATTATAATATTCAACTATTCATTAGAAAAAACTTTCCCCCTTAGATGCCTAACTGTCCATGATGCTTCGATGTTGGATCAATGCATGACATTGTGTTTTCCCAGTTTTGTAATTCCTGGGGTTCATGTCATTGCTTTTAGTGAATTGGCTTATTGTATAGTCGACTTGACATCTTCGCTATATGATATATGCTTGACTAATTTGTTAATGAAAAACTTTTTTTTTTCTGTTTTTTTTTTTTAAATTTAATCTGCCATTTTTAATTTTTTTCTTAAATAAATTTCTCCAAAATTTTAATATAGTATATATTTAAACATAATATTTATTTGTATATATAATTTATTATAAATTTTAGTTACATATATTAAATATTTAATCTACATTGTATATGTTAAAATACTAGTGTAACAAAAGTTGAAAGAATGTGACATAATAGGAGATAAAGTGAGAAATAAAAATATGATATATGAAGTTTAAATATATCACATTTTTTTTCAACAATTAAAACATGACTCTACCATGTATTATATATATATATATATATATATTTATATATTTATATATATGCATTAAATTAGTAAAATGTGAAATATTTGGATTTAACTAGCAAAATCAATTTATTATTTATAAAGCAGAAGGATTTGCTTACACAAAATAAATATTGAAATATCAATTAATATATAATTATCAACTAATTTGTTTTTATAAATATTAATTTTTAAATTGAATAAAAACAATATTATTTTTAAATTTTCATAGCTTTTGATTAAAGAAATTAAAAAATGTACTTAATATACATGATAAATAGACACTAATAATATCTGTTAACATAATTCCTTCATAATCAAATGCGAAACATGTCCGAATAGAAAGTATTACATCTTGAACAAATAATATAATTAGTGAAAATTACAAAAGAAATAAAATTAAGGGGGGTGTATTGGTTTAGGATTTCGTAGTTATTGTCAAGATTGATGTTTATGCTGGCACCATGTCTATGGAATTTGGTGATATTGTTGTTCATTTTAATATTTTGGATGCCATGAAATTTCCTTCTGAAGCTCATTCTATTTTTCGTGCTGAATTGATTGATGATCTAGTTGATGAGCACATTCATGATTTTGATTCTTTTCATGATAAGAAACATTCATTTTTATCTGAACTGCATAACTGTCTTTCATGCATTGAATCTGAATCTGAATTTGGAAGTGATATTGATTGTGATGATGCATCTGAATTTGATACTTTGCTTGCTGTACCTCTTGGTCTTGATTTTATAGAGTTAGAATGTACTAACCATGTTGTAGGAAGTACAAAAGAATCTGACTTGCAGGTTGAGATACAGGTTGCGGAACCCCTTCCCCCTTCTTTGTTTCCTTCTGACGTTCAGCCAACACCCATACCAGAGTTGAAGCTTCTTCCAGAAAACCTCAAGTATGCTTACTTGGAGGATGATGAGAGATTCCTTGGGATCATATCCACCTCCCTTGATGCTGATCAAGAAGAGAGGTTGTTGCATGTGCTCCGAAAGCACAAGAAGGCAATTGGTTGGACCTTGGCAGACATTCATAACATTAGCCCATCCACGTGCATGCATAGGATACTATTGGAGGATGGAGCTAAACTAGTGAGACAACCTCAAAGAAGACTTAACCCGATGATTCTGGACGTTGTAAAGAAAGAGGTGACCAAGCTTCTACAGGCTGGGATCATCTATCCTATTTTAGACAGTCAGTGAGTGAGTCCAGTCCAGGTGGTCCCCAAGAAGACAAGGCTCACTATTGTTAAGAATGAAAAGGATGAGCTCATACCCCCTAGAGTCCAAAACAGTTGGAAGGTCTATATTGACTATCAGAGGCTTAACCAAGCGACAAGGAAGGATCACTTTCCTCTGCCCTTCATTGATCAGATGTTTGAGCCTCTGGCAGGTAAATCTCATTATTATTTTCTTGATGGTTTCTCTGGTTATTTTTAGATTCATATTGCTCTTGAGGATCAGGAAAATACCACATTCACCTAACCCTTTGGCACTTTTGCCTATAGGAGGATGCCCTTTGGCCTATGCAATGCCCGTGGCACATTCCAACGGTGGATGCTCAGTATTTTTAGCAATTTTCTTGAAAATTGCATAGAGGTTTTAATGGATGATTTTACTGTTTATGGATCCTCTTTTGACACTTGTTTGGATAGTTTGGATAAAGTTTTGAATAGATGCATTGAGACTAACCTTATTCTTAATTTTGAGAAATGTCATTTCATGGTTGAGCAAGGTATAGTTTTAGGGCATATCATTTCTAGTTGGGGCATTGAGGTAGACCTTGAAAAAGTATCTGTTATTGCACAATTGCCTTACCCCTCTTGCATGCGAGAGGTGCGATCTTTTCTTGGCCATGTAGGTTTCTACAGGTGCTTCATTAAGGACTTCAACAAGAAAGCCCTTTCACTATCCAGCTTGCTTCAAAAGGATATTGAATTTAATTTTGATGACAGGTGCAAGGAGGCGTTTAATTGCCTCAAGAGAGCCTTGACCACCACTCCTATCATCAGGCACCAGACTGGACAGTTCCATTTGAGTTGATGTGTGATGCTTCAAATTATACACTGGGGGCTGTATTAGCATAGAGGGTTGATAAATTGCCTAGAGTGATATACTATGCTTCTAGGACATTAGATGTTGCTCAAGCAAATTACACGACCACGAAAAAGGAACTTTTAGCTATTATTTTTTCACTTGATAAATTTTGATCATATTTGCTTGGTTCTCGTGTCGTTGTTTTTACAGATCATGCAGCTCTAAAGTACTTGCTAAAAAATGCTAACTCAAAGCCTAGGCTGATCAGATGGATGCTCTGGCTTCAAGAGTTTGACTTGGACATCCGTGACAGAAGCAAAGCACAAAACTTGGTGGCAGACCATCTCAGCAGGATTGAGAAAGCTGAGGATGAGAAGACTTTGCCTATTCAGGATGATTTTCCGTATGAACACTTGTTAACTGTTTCTGTTCCTTCCCCCACCCCTTGGTTTGCAAACATTGTAAATTATCTAGTTGCTTCTATTTTTCCTTCTTTGGCATCTAGAGCTTAAATTGATAAACTTAAGAGCAATGCAAAACATTATGTTTGGGATGACCCTTATTTGTGGAAGTTGTGCAGTGATCAGGTAATCAGGAGATGTTTGCCAGACCATGAGATTGATTCGGTCCTACAGTTTTGTCATTCTTCTGTACCTGGTGGTCATCTTGGCATTCAAAGGATAGCTCGTAAGGTGCTTGATTGTGGTTTCTACTGGCCCACCATCTTCAAGGATGCGTGGAAGATTTGTAGCACCTGTGAGTAGTGTTAGAGAGTAGGAGGATCCCTTTCTTGGAGACAACAAATGCCTCAACAACCCATGTTGTTTTGTGAGGTCTTTGATGTTTGGGGTATAGATTTCATGGGTCATTTTCCTGTTTCTTTTGGTTTTTCATATATTCTCTTGGTTGTTGATTATGTTTCAAAATGGGTGGATGCCAAAGCCACCAAAACTAATGATGCTCGAGTTGTTGTGGATTTTGTCAGATCTAACATATTTTGTCAATTTGGAGTACCCAGAGTTATTGTTAGTGATCAGGGCACCCATTTTTGTAACAGATCCATGCAGACCTTGCTCAGGAAGTATAAGGTTCTTCATAGAATCTCTACACCCTACCACCCCCAAACTAACAGGCAGGCTGAGATTTCAATCAGGGAGCTCAAGAGGATCTTGGAGAAGATTGTGCAGCCCAACAGGAAAGATTGGAGCAACAGGCTAGATGATGCTCACTAGGCATATAAGACTGCTTACAAAGCACCCATAGGGATATCTCGTTATCAGGTTATCTTTGGTAAAACATGTCATCTTCTTGTGGATATAGAGCACCGAGCCTACTAGGCTCTGAAGACCTGTAACTTCTCTATTGATCAGGCTGGAGAGGAAAAAAAGCTGCAACTGAGTGAGCTTGATGAGATCCGCCTAGAATCCTATGAGAACTCTAAGTTCTACAAGGAAAAAACCAAGAAGTTCCATGATATTTTGATAGCTAGAAAGGACTTCAAGATTGGGCAGAAAGTTTTACTGTATAATTCAAGGCTTGGTCTCATGGGTGGTAAGTTGCGTTCTAAGTGGATTAGACCTTTTGTTATTACTAATGTTTTTCCTTATGGAACAGTTGAGATCAAAAGTGAATCCACAGACAAAAGCTTCAAGGTTAACAAGCACCGTCTGAATGACAATTAATTGAATTAAATTTGTTTGATGATGTGAGATGGATGAACTTGAATACTAGATGTATTATGTTGATATTATTTGTGGATGTGTGTGGTGTTAATGCTACCTATATACCTTGTATGTGCTATAAATGAATGAGATATATTCTCATTTCTTTATGTTTGTATTGTTTGTTGCTTTTGTTTGGGTTGATTACCATGCAAGAATATAGCAAGTATATGAGACCAAGTTTTCAAAATAATTTAACAGAAACAATATCCTAATCTACTTCTATCTATGCCTTAATGTCACATATCCTATTAGAGCAAGTTAGGGATGACAACAGGGCGGGTCGGGTACAGGTTTCATGATATCATTATCATCCTCGCAATTCAAACCCATCCCCATACCCGTATCTGTCGAATATATTATTTTTGTCCCCATCCTTGTCCTCGTCGAGTATTGAGTATACCTTACCCATATCCGTCAATCTTTTTTGCAAAAAAAAAATATACAATATTTTTAAATTATTTTTCTATTATATTACAATTATAATTAGGTTGCTTTTCTATCTCATATTTTAATCAAAGAGACTTAATAATTGAACAACTATAAATGTTTCATATTATAACAAATAATCACACATAATAAAATATTAAAATTCTTTATTACAATTAAATCGGGGGTGAGTATAAAATCGGGGATGGGGATGACGATGAGTATGGGGAGAGTAAGTATATACCTGTACCTAGTTTAATATATTCGTACCCATACCCGGTCAAATCGGGTATTCCCCGTCAAAATCAGGACGAGTTTAGATATTACCTACAGGTACGAGTTTATTTGTCATCCCTAGAGCAAACCCAACACCGGAGTCTAAGCTTTTTCACCAACATCTTCAGCCTCTTGTTGATAATCACTTGCATGATAACCAAGGGAAAACAACACAAAGAAAGGGAGTGAGAAATATCTCACTCTGGATCACGATGTAGCAATGAGCATATAAC